ATGTTAATGTGGAAAATATATAATGTTTTCTGCTGACTTTCCGTTGGGACAGACAAAATGTATTATCTATTTTAAAAATGAAAGAAAAAAAATTACATACCCCAGCCTCAATTGAGTATGCAAAAGATGACATATTTTCTAATACGATTATGAAAGAGGTCTAATTTGTTCAGAACATTTTAAATACCGGGTAGTTAAACTTTTTACAGTCTTACCTTGGGGACAAACAAAATGTGTTATTTATGTTAAGTACCTCAGTTTTAAGTGTTATTTTAATCTGTTATAACAACAGTTGAAATAAATATTCAAAGGAAACTATAATGGGATACAGAATAAAAAAATAAACAAAGATGTAATAATGGTTGGAGATCAAAGCGGAGTGTTACAAAGTCTATGGGCCTGTTTGTGGGCCGTGGAGTTTTTACAGCTGGTCACTGAGAATGTGCTCAAAGTTTAAAGGCGCTGACTCTTGTTTTTACAGATGCTTTTTTTCATGGGATCGCACTTCAAAAAGAAGCGAGAAAAAAATATGGCCGCGCGGACAACAAAACACAATTACATCTGTTTGAACCTTGCAATTAGCAAAGTAAAGCTTGATTTTACGTACTAATCTAATAACTTGAATGGTGGATGTGATATTTTTGGCATCAGACGACCAAATATGAAGCGTTTTAGTGACATGTAATTTGCATTGATTAAACTTTAAGTGTACAATGGTGGGGCAGGGTGGTGCTGATTGCCTCAAGTGTTGCAGAATGTTTACTCTGGGGGGCACTTTGTTACTGCAAATTAACCTCACTGGAAATCAATGTAAGAGTTTTGACTTTTGAGCACCACAGCATAGCACAACTCAAGAAATCACAAGTGAGTGAACGCCCAAGAGATAATGGTGGTTATTTAGGTCACACTGTTGACAAATTTGACAAGCAAAATATTTCTAAAAAGCACATTTATAAGTGTTTTTTTATTGCGATTCAGTAAACAGAAAATATTCCAAACAGTAGTTTAACTGGCAATTATGTTATGGATGTGTAAAAAAGGACGGCCATTCATACCGAGGGCAACTCAAAGTGTGCAACAAAACAAGATAGAAACATACACACGAGGCAATCAAATCATAAGATAACCCTTCAGTTTAACGCACAGCTTAAAAGACAGTCTTTATCCTTGATTTGAACATCGTCAGAGTAGAAGCCTGTCTCACGTTTTTCAGAAGACTGTTTCAGATTGTAGCTGCATGAATCTGAAATGCTGCCTCCGCATGTTTAGTCCTGACTCTGAGCACCGGAGGCCAGTCCCTGTGCTCCTCAGAGTCCGAGTCGGTTCTAGGGATCAATTATAGATGTATCTTTGTAACTTGTGTGCACTTATGTTTCTTTGCTTTCTGCTGGGAAAATAAATGGTATGTAGATTAGGTAAAGCAAATACAAAGTTATGTTACTGAAAAGGTTTTTACTAAGTTAATAATTTTTTGCCTGTTATGGGGTAAACCTGGTTAACATGAACACCCATATCCAGAATGGGCAGTGTGACCGCAGCAGTGCCCAACAGAAGCCTGTCTGCTTAACACCATGGAGAAAATGCTCATCTACACTGAAAAAATCATCACAACACAGTGCCAACATAGCAGCAGCTCACTATACAGCTGAATCACACATGCATCACAAACTTAGGGTAAAGAAAAAGTCAAAGGGACGATCGGAATGTGGAGTGAAGGCAAAGTCAATTTATCACTACACTGTAATCCCCCTTCTATTATCCTTCAAACATCAGAACTCAAATATTTGCAGTTTGACCATTGCAATGTGAAAGTATAAATTAGTATCTCTTTTTCGAACATTGACGTAGCACTTTGAAAAGTTTCAGAAAATAACTATACTGTCCATCCAAAGTCATATTGACGCCGCATGCAGGTAAACGATGCCATCATATCAGCACGGCCCACACAAACTATCTCTTCCACGTAGATTCATTCCTGGATGTAAACAGCGTACGCGTCTATATAAGCTCCGAGTTGTTATCGAGTTGTGGCCCCCGGCGCAGGATTGATCCACTTCAATATGGCTGCAGGAGGAGGGGGGGTCTCCAGAGGGCCACAGCGGGACGCCAAATCAATAAGGGTAATAGATGTGGAGGCTACGCAGTCAGAGGTGTGCGGGTCTGGCATTTTCGGCAACGATGAAGAAAATTCCTGATGACGAGGCTGTCTGTTGGGGACGCGTCGCTAATGTCACCCTGATTACCTGGCGCCCGGATGTGAGTGCGGCCGACTCGGAGCACGCCTCGCCTCCCTTTGGCCATTAACTAGAATTAGCTTTACAAGGAGCCCCTTCAGATTGGAGACTTTAACTTGCCACCTCCTCATCCTCCGTCCATTGAGAACTAATTGCCAGTCCCCCCTCTCTCCCCCTCTCGCCCCAGACGCTATTCTTTCGCCCTGATTTCTATAATGCCAACAGTTTCATAATCACTTGATGAGTAATTTCCTCTCATTTGCAATTTCAAGAGAGTCCATTCATTTGGAAGTTTCTGTGCACCCCAAGCTCAATTTTTCTGGTATTTCACATGTTTCTTTTAAGTGTGTAATTAAATTTGACACAGGGATTTGGCTAGGCTGAACACATTTTATTTTAAAAAAGTGTGACTTAAATTCTGTTTAAACTTCCAATTTCAGGATTGGACATTCAGCCGTTTAAAGCCTTTTTCAAGTTCCTATTATTTATTCTCAGGAACAATATGCCAGCACTCAGCGGACAGTAAGTCTTTTGTCAATTCCGCGCTTAAAGTTTAGCTTTCCCACACTGAAATATCCATCAAACTATTACAATTTTCTGAATAGGGCTCTTCAGTTTACAGCACAGTTTGAATGACCCTATGCTAATGAGCCTCTTGCAGATCTATTCTCTTTGTACCTGGCTAACGTCTGGACTGGAAGCCAAAGGTTGACCCAGTGTGCAGTTGCAAAAGTGTCCACACCTGTAATTAGCCACGCACCTGCGGAAGAAGTCCTGCTGCTGTCTCTCCCCAAAACAAAACACAAGTCATTTGCCATAGAGGAAGGGGTCGCCTCTTCCCCCCTCTCTGCATTAGAAATCAGTTGTCTGTCCCTTTGAAGGACACCATGCCGTGTGAGCCCCCATAGAAATGAGTTTTGGCATTGTTGTACCCAGGCACTCCCCCTTCTAATAAATTGAGGAGGATTAGGGGAGAAGAATGTAATAAAGGATAGTCATTTCATGGTGACAGACATTTTTCTCTTGGAAGAGGGGGTGGGGGCAGTTAGAGATTTAAAGGATAATCAGGACTGGGTTTATTTCCATAACATGCATTACGATCTGCTTCTTTGAACTTCCTGCCACTTAGGTTAGTAGATTTGTACAGAGGCTGTTTGGTGTTGACTGACATGTTCGAGACGTCCCAGAGAACTGCTATGGGAGATTATTATGTTAATCTGAGCACTTTGAAGTCAATGCAAGTTTACAGTGGAATTAGGAGAATAGATTTTTTTGCCTTTCCTTTTCTATTTCCAGGGGGAAAATGCATGTTTATGGTCTATAAAGTAGTTTCTGTGAAGGATAGGGAATGCCTACAACTATTATCAACAAATGTAACATACCGACCTAAGTAAGTAAGGATACACATATACACTTTGTTTTTATGCCACCATACAATAGGATATGAACTTTGTATATTAAAACACAAACCTTAGGAGAAATGCATGGTAATTGGTTACAGTATAAGTACTAACAGGCTGTCATATATTTGAGTGTGTTAGGTCATTGGATAAGGTGCCGTTTCTCTCCATAAATTATGTTTTTATTAACTTTAAGATCAAGCATTAATGGAAAATGGCTCAACATTGACCCGACTCAATGTTTTTTGATGGATTCTGGGATGTGGCATGACGTTGTTAAACCAGCTCATTCGTAATAAATGTTGAAATGTAATAACAAACAGGCCGTTTATACAAGATCCCCACTCAACATGTTTCATTTAATATGAGCAATTGACAGCAATATGATCATAATTAGTTTTATTAATTAACATCAGTCATTTTTCTTTCATCTATTTCCAAACTTATAATCGATTCTAGAGCGGTGCCCCCAGCCAGCTCTGCTGCTTGTTGAGACCAGGACGCTCAGAAGTGGCCAACAGCAGGTGAGAAGTGGCTCAGCTTTGAAGTCTCGTCTGTATTGATCCTGTGCATATTCTAAAAATCACAGCCAGCATCAAAGGCATAGCTAAACTCTTAAAGACTGTGCAAGCGCCTAAAAAGGCCATCGATGACAGCGTGAACAAGCAAAGCAGGTGGTGTCCAGGAGCTGGGGCAGTCACCTCCAGACCCCTCCACAACCCCTTGCACGGCCCAGACACACACATGTAGGCACACACACACACACACACACACACCGCTATGTCTGCCAGGAGTGCGGCTCCGGCTCTGACTGGCACTTTCCTTTCATTATATCCAAAGAAGCTTAGAGATACAGGCTTCACCTTAATCATTCTACACCGTGTATACAGCTGGAAAAGTAGTATGTGCATCAAGGATTGGCTTCAAATGGCAATTCTCAACATTTCCAATTCGAGCGGGAAACTCATGTTCAATTTAAAGACATTTCAGTTTCCAACACAGGCTGACAATCTCCGGGTCGTGGGTGACTCAAATTACAGTAATATCTGCAATTATCGATAAGTCAAAAATATATCATTATGTCCCATTCAAAGACCATTTTGAGAGATCAATGGATATCAATTGAAAAGGCTCATTTTGAAGAAGAGGAAAACATGGATACCAGCATATACAGTGTTAAGTTTATTAAAACGTTGAATAAACTTTTTATTAATAGAAAAAAAAAACTAATTTTAAATTTGATTAAATATTTGAAATTATATGTGCATGGCAAAATGTACACAACTTAGATACAGTCACTTGAATCAAACTTTTAGGATCCACAGAGAAAACACTGGTTTTGGAGTTTATTGATTCCATGTGACGGCTAGTCTTTGTGATGGAGCTGAGTCCACAGAGCCATCAGCTCCGACAGTCCCGTCTCAGTATTGGCCAAATGGATGATAGTCACACAGTGAGTGGAGGCTAACAATAGTCTGTGTGCGTCCAGGATGAATCCCTCTCCCCTGGGCCTCCCTGTGATGCGTGTCTGTCCTCTGCTCTCCTTGGCTGCACATGGGGAGTTATTTGAGCCGTTCTGGGACCAGTGGGGAGTCGCTGTTGGATTAGCCTGCTTGCGTGATGCTCTGGCCCCTTTCCTCCAGTGACGTTCCTGCACAGAGTTCACGAAGGGCTGATTTAACTCATTCACCACAGTCTACTGCCACTAGCCACATGCCTGCCAGCTCACGGAACACGGACGCACACTAAACGCTGCTAAGACGGGAGGACAAAGTGCCACGTTCACTTAGTTGATACAACAGCACAAACACCTAACTTAAATACTATACTTTTCTGTCAAGTGCAAGCATTAGAGTTGTAGCAATAACAAGGAAATGCTGTTAAAAATGGTGTTGATAACAAGAGGTGGGCAGTGGTCAGGTAATTCAGAAAAAATATTGTGATCAATGTGTTGAAATATATAGATTATTATTGATATGATGGAAATGCAAGGATAGCTGACAATGACATCTTATTGTCTCAATAATTTTTTTTAGAATAATAGCATTTTTTATTGAGGATGAGTATTTTTCTTTTTGCTATACGGCAAAGCTTGCTTAAGTAGATTTCTTGAGCACAAGGATAAAAAAGGGCTTAAAATGTACTAACTTTTTTTAAACCCCATTGCTGGATATTGATAGACACCCCCTCCTGTTCAATTCTATCGTCTCCAAATATTTCTATCAGAGAAACAGCTAATCCCAAGACACATGACAAAAGCAGACTAAGAAACTAGTGACCCTTGAAAGGCCTCTCTTTAGCAAGTGTGAGGATGTCATGTTTTTATTGGCTATTTCTCACTGCTGTAGTATCTCGCACTCCGCCCATTCACTGATGTATCCTGTCAACTGAGCAGAGGCATCCGGCTCACATCCCCAGAGACTGCTCTTGACTAATGTTCTCGCATTAACAGGCCAAACAAGGGATACTCTCACAACACCGCTATTAATGTGTGGACCCCTGGCTACGCACTATGATGGATGTGAACCAATATGCACAGATTTATTTGGACTACTCCGACATCAGGAGTTCAGTTCTATTTGTTAACAAACTTCCTGCTTACGACTAGACAGTCAGAACATTGGGCAGGAGTGTGAATGAGGCTGCTGTCCGAAGCCTCATGGCAGAGCGGACACCATGAAAGGAACTTTCACATGTCACAGATTCCATTCTCATGGTAACAATCTTAATTTCTGGACGTCATAAAAAGACCTTATTAATCGTCGGTTCATCTTAACTGTTAACCTTTCCGAAGTACAAGTACAATTGTACAAAAAACATTAAAGGGAAATTTGGTATGGAGGCTGCAAATCTTTCCCCTTTTCTCAAATCAAGCAGCACAAGCTCCTGCCTCTCTGTGGGGCGTTCAAAGAGTGATGAAGACCTACATTTGATGTGTTTTAGGGCCCACTCTCAGATGGAGTGCCTTCAGATGGGAAAGTGAACAGACTGAAATGCTAATTTACACACATTGATAAATCTGTTATGAAATTGTCGGTACAGAGCTCTGCCCTCGGGCTGTGCGTTATTGCTTTATTCTATTAGTCAGTTATTACCAGCAATCACAGTCAACCCCCACTGCCCCACACACAAAGCCCCTCTTACATGACATTTATCAGGCGTTGTACAAACGCTGAGAACATATGACGCAGCCCTGAGAGGTGCCTTCCTCCAGGGCTGGGGCCCCAATGCTGAGGGAGGGACCTCCAGCTGGCCCACAATGCATCTGTGCACCAGACCCAGCTGACACAGAGCTCTTATGTACATCCTCCTATGTTTCAAACCTATGTTTGTGGACATTTAAGGGTCTCTTCATCTGTCACTGCGAAGGCCAGAGTCAAGTGTTCAGAGTGAAGTGTGAAGGCTGCTGTCACATCCATGTTTGTGCTGACATACTGCAGCTAATCACCTGACTATAGAGCTCTAATTGTACAGGCTCTTGGCCCAGATGTTCAGCCCTATGGCCTCTCCACACTTCCTCTTATAGAGCAGGCACCTCAAGCTATTTACATCACTATCTGTGGAGTAATTACCATACTGTTTTATATAATGCCAAGGCAATCATAGGGTGATAACATGCAATTAAGCACTGTTCTCTGATTTTACGAAGGCAATCTTGCATCTCTCCAGCTCAGAAGATAAAGTGCCCGTCTAAAAATGTCACATTCTACAGGCTTAATCTGATTATTTTCAATTAATATGCAAGTCTATCTACCCTGAGAGAACTGTGCATATTGACAGTGATGAATTGAGCTCATTTTGGTCCAAATTTGAACCAGGAAACTCATTTGTGCCAGTTCCCTTATAAAAAGGCAAGTACTTTTATTAGATATATCCCTTGATTTGTGAAAGGATTTTTTGCATGTTCACCGTCATGTTGTATTCCCAAAAGGGCTGTGCTTGAGTGTAATGTTTGCAGTGCAGTTCTTGAGATGGTGCCACAGGTTTCTACTAGTTCTGTCCATAGACCTCTACGCACCACTTAGACATTCTATATACACCATGTCATTCGGCTGCATTGGGTTTGTGAATGTGTCACATCCGAGCAGACTCATGCGCCCGAGGGAGTATGTTGCCCACCGTTTGAAGATTAAAACATCCTCTGTCATTTCCTGCTCCAGTGGTTTCTTTACGCAAGAAGAGCGGAGATATGAATTGTACTTTTGGACCCCTTTAGAGCTGATTATTGGAAGCCTGCTTTTCACTGGCCTTCCATGGTGGTCCCAGAAACAAGCCAAGACCAAGAGGGCAGCATCAGGATCAGTATGTGTTGTGTTTGGGTATACGCCATTGTTCCTTTGCTCAATGCAAGAAGGTGAAGCATGGCTAAATCCTTTCCTTCCTCTGAGTCTCCTCTCACGTGTGTCCCTGTTTTTGTCAGTGCTACTTTTTTCGCCAATTCAACGTTTTCTTAATTGGACACATCAGGTCTCATTGTAAAGTGTTGTATTTTGTAATTTGTCCATCTCATATGACCAGTATCTCAACAACTGAATTGTGATCAGAAGTTATGTTTGGTTAATTTAATGGAATTACTTCATCACTTCATGTATTTTTATAACTTTGTACCATTAAAAGCATAAAATATTTTATTACAACTAGATTAATTCGGAGACAAAAATTTTCCTGAATTTTTGCACGACTGTTGAAAACGTATTCAGAAACAGTCTATTGTCAAATCTTAAATCTTAAAGATAAGATAAAAAAGTATTGATCTCACAACGGAAAAATGTACATGTTGCATTAGACCTCAATACGATCACTGCAGGAAATGTGCAAACAGTTAAAAAGTAAAAATAGATATAGCATTTAAGGTAAATGTATAAATGTATAGCCTGTGTAACCAATGTACAGCTCGACTCTTGACTTATCAGTTTGATTAAATTCTCAAAATAGCAATTGCCCAGAAGCCCAATGCGATGTTTCTGCTGGAGCATCTCTGAAAGTGGTTGCTGATGTGTTTCGGAGGCTCTATTCCGTCTTCCTCCCCATCAGTGCGTTGTCAGCAGCACGTCCCCATCGAGAGGAAGGGCCCGGGATAGAACCAGGAGTCATGGTGGGGGGTTCTAATAGAGCCATCCGTCAGCGGCCTGTCCAGCGGGCCTTAGCCTTAATGCTGAGCCACACGGCGTAAAGGAGCGCAGGAGCAGAGCTGTTTGTCAAAGTGCAGCCAGTGTGAAGGAAGTTGTTAGTTAAGTGCACAGGCCCATCCCGCTGCAGCGTGTTCTTAGCAGGTTTAAATGTGTTCCTGCTCCTTTACAAGATTTAAAACACTGCGGTTTGAGTTGAATGATTCAATTGGAGGCTGTGGTTAAATGGAAAAGCAACAAAAGACATTGTGTTCGACATAACTCACTTTGTGGGTGTCAAAACATTCAAACTGAGCAGAGCCGTGCAGAGTCAGGCAGTCAGACCCAACAACATGTATTATTTAGAATTTAAAATGTATTTATTGTTTGGCAATAAAAGTATTGTTTTTGTCATCCCAGTTATTCTTATTGGTCAATATGGTCCTGCCCGACCGTATTTCAGTCTAAGTTTGGTGATACACTAAGACTAATTAATTAAGGGTTTTGCCTTGATGCATATATGGAAGCTGCAAATATTGCTTTGGCTCGTTTGACTGGTTTGACTGGGATTGCATTTAAAAAGTGGTGAGGCTATTTACAGAGGCTGGCTGCAGAGTGAGGGGAGCGGGCCACTTCCTGTGTGACCTTCTGGAGAGTGAGAGCATCCGCAGAGAGGCCACACTGACGCTGCAGGAGCCAGTGCCAGCACCAGGATCTGTGTCCTCCACTCCCCACACCTCCACCACACACGCCTTTCAATACCCACATACTATTCACGATTATTGTAGATACTTGGGCTAAACTAATGATTATTGCAACTATTTTGATCACAAATAATCATACGCCCACTTTACTTCAATACTTTAATGTACTTAAAAGTGGTTTTATAAAATGTATTTAGAGTTTTTTATCATCTGTTTCTTTATATATTTAGAATTCATTTAGCTGTGCCTTTTAACGGGCAAGCAACAAATAGATCTAAATACGAACTGTTCATTAGGGCTGCTATTTCATTCAATTGACTTTTACCTTTTATCCAAGTTATTTATAAATATTTGAACTACCTTAACTGCATAATCATCATATATTCTAGATTTAAAAAATACAATTTTAAATTACCGATAATATTTCCAACTCCTGTTGTTCAGAGCAGTGTTGGCACCAGGCACTACTGGCACTATTGAGGCAAATACACTGTAACCAAAGCTTTTGTTAGGAATTAATTGGACTGATATGATTCATCGTTTCAGCCCTACTCATTAGAAATAATAGAAAAGTCATTTGTGTTGCAGCCCCAAAAGAAATTATATTACTAATAAAAGGTTTGACTTAACTGGACTTTTGAATCTGCTTTCTTCTCATGTTTGACGGTTCACTCTTTGATTTTCTCCATGTGAGGTGAGAAACAGCCGTTACTCAAACGAACCAAAGCGAGTTTGGGAGATGATTGATTTTGCATAATGTCGCCCCCATCCCGGCCCCACGTCGCTGAAGGTAAGAATGGTTTGGCTTTGTTTTATTCTTCCACTGTAGATGCGGGCTGTTTGGCAAACAATGATTACAAGTACATTAGCGTTTTATTAGTCTTAAGTGAAACAATCATTTAGCACTAATGGTAAATAACAAGGTCTCTTCAATGCAGCATTGCTCTCAGCAGAAGGTGATAAAGCTTCTGTATGTTATTTTACCATAAATTATACATTTTGTTTGTCCCAACTGAGTCTGAGTAAAATGTGAACAAACCAGATCCTAACATGCTGTCTTCAACTTATTCAAATGTTTTCTCTTTTGCGTGCTAAATTAAATTAAATAAACATGTTAAATGCCCATGCATGTGACTTCCTCTGTATAAAGTTGTCAATTCTTTACAGTTTATTTTTAAAGAACAAAATCATTATCTGCGGTTGTCCTTTAGTCTTTCTTTTGGATTATGTTCAGTACAAAACAGTTGAATTCCTCCTCTCCCACAGCACACTGACGCAGGTGACAGGTGTGATAAGCCTGAACGCAGGGGAGTCAAACATGACATCAGCCTATTGACCAACACTCACTATTTGACCATTTGGGCTGAGATCTGATTGGCTGAGTGAGGGTGGGCCTCTCTTTTTGGTCAGAAAAAGCAGAAAAAAAGAAAAAAAAATACCACTGTGAAAATTCATTGACAGACTTTAACTGTTTTAGAGGTTTAAGAACTTGTGAGATTTCATGGCATACTTATTTTTGATTTGTGTTTTGAAAGTTAGGTTGCAAACATCTTAG